AAAGTGCATATCTACTTATTTATTAGGTGTAAGGTTTATCTGATGTGTTTCATCTCTAAAAAAATGAGGATTTTTTTCCCCTCTTAGTAATTTTAAGAGTGTTATTTAATTTAAATATATTCACAGTTTGTGAACAAACAGTAACAGGGAAACCCCAAAAGCTGAAAATGGGTAAATTTTCACAGCATTTGCAATCAGTGCTTTGAAGAAGCTTGCTAAATTTAGGGGGAAAAAAGAGCAAATAAAAGAGCAAATAAAAGATAATTGTGAGGTTTTGCGTCATTATGTTTTTATAAGATTTTCTTAGTGTCATCAAAAGGACGAAATAAGCAGAAAAAAGAACTGATCTCTGAAGACATAGTCTGACTGAAAAAATTGCAATTCCACTGTTTCAGGCCATGACTACTGTAGCTGCCTGTGCTCATGCACTAAAAACCAGTATGTATTAAAACAGTAACAGTGTAATCTATTTTTTTTAATGCAAATTACTTAATTATAAGTATTTGTTGCACAGTTGCATACCTAAGATTTCATTTGCTGTGTGTACAACTGTGTGTATGGCAGGGTAGGATTTACTTGGTGAAGTCCATGAAACTTCAAATGTGAATCTAAAAATAATCTGAATAGTATTCTGCTTTTTGAAAGTAAACTGAGGAGTGATCAGTGGTTTCAGGAACTTTATTGGCATTTGCCTAGACTTGTGCCCAGAGCACTTGAATTATTATGCATGTTCACTGTATAAATACTTAAAATACAAAAAAAGCATAGTTTCCAAATGCCTGTATTTCTATCTTTCAGATACTGCTCGGGCACATTTTGAAACAGTAATTATTTATACCACAATAGAAAACCCCAGATCTATAATTCACTCATGGGGCTTAGGTCATTTCATGAAAGGCAGGAGTATAGCACATTACTCTGTATGCATAATGTAGAGCATGTTCATATTTAATGCTGGCATTATTTTTCTATGAGGAGACTATTCATGAGGGATGCTTCCTGTTCAGAATATTGTTTATGTTGTGCAGATTTTCATTTTGAGATGGAAAAAAGGTTTGTTTCCCAAGAAAATGCTGGCCACTTTTAAGAATCTTTCTTTATTTCCTTTGCTTCCATCTTTTGCTTTCTCTCCTTCCTTTCCTTTCTTCTTTTTTCTGTTTAACAAAGGAATTGTTCATTTTTGACAAAGGAATTTTTCACTGGTAGTATAATAGTAATAGGTTATGTATAAGTTTTTGGGTTTTTTTTCTGGACAAACTTTTCTAGCAATACCAAACAATTTAATCTGGATTTGATAGAAAGGTTGAAATTAGAGAAAAAAATATGCTGCTACTTTTGCAATCCAATGAATACCTACATTAATTTTAATGTTAAAAAATTCAGCCTGTAGCAGTATTAGAATTTCATTCATCCACACTAATAGGTGGAAACCTTGTGTTTAGTCTGGCTTTGGGTCACTTCCTGTAGTCACAGCAGGTATGTCAGAGGAGTGAGTCACTCTGAGTCGGAAACACCAGAGGATAAAAACACAGAGATGTATTTATCTCAGGCTATTGTGAGGATTTTTATCTGTAATGTTTATTACAGCTCACAGAGGACATGCGTTGTAAGTCTGGCTATTGAGCTAAGGCTGTGTGCTTCAATCAGCTTTGCAAAAATGCCTGTAGATAAAGTTCTGTGCTAACCCTTCTCTAGATTATGCTCTGCATCAGGAAGTATATTATCCCTTAAAAGATCTCCTTCTGTTCTTCAGTGTTGCTGGCAGCATACCAGCAGGAATCAGTTTTTTGTGGGAAAACACATTCATGCTGCTCCTGTCCCAGTGCTGCCAAACAGCATCTCCTGCAGGTCACACACAGGGCCTGGGGACATGGGTGCTGCTCAGAGTCCAAATGGGTCCTGCCCTTTTGCTGCAGGGAGGAGCTTTACTCAACATTGCCATAGGCACCACCAAAGGAGGAATTTTCTAGATGGCTCAAGCAGGCTGACATTCCTGCAGCAAGCTGTCACCTTCCATCTTCTCAAGCAAACAGCCACCTCCTCCTTGCTCTTGTCTGGAAAACAAAGCCCCTGCAAGGCAAGAAAGGGGAGGGCTGAATGCTCTAAGCTCTTGCTTTGGGAAGCCAATGCTTTAGCACTCTTGCTCTCCCCTGTGAGCCTGCTGGTGCACAGGATTTGGGGTCAGATTTAATAACCAAAATGGAGCCTATGTCCCATTGGACTGGTGTTGTGTACTCATTGTGGTGTCACCACCAGCAGCATAATGCTGGGAGGATGTGGAAGGGGAAGAGGATGCAGGAGATAAGGTGTTTCTAACTTTTTTGAGGCCAAATACCTATTATTTGCCATCATATCTATGGTAGTGCTTTCCCAAAGTCCTTGCTGCAGCCAGAAGAGAAAGGTGTGGGAGCTCGGAAAGCCAGCAATAAGTGACAAAGTCCTGCCTGATGAGTCCAAGTGATTGTTAAGAGAAGATCCAGCAGCCACAACACTCTGAGTTCCAGCAAGCCTAAAAATGTAGTTGCAGAATGCTTTACAGTTTGCAAAATGAAGGGAAAAAAAGTTCTTTTCTTTCATCTATGGAACATTATATTTATATACATGTGCATTTGTAGATCTTGGAATCATAGAATGGCTTGAGTTAGAAGGGACCTTAGAGATCATCTAGTTCCATGGGCAAGGACAACTTCCACTAGACCAGGTTGTTCAGAGCTCCATCCATCCTGGTCTTGAACACTTCCAGGGATGGAGAAGCCACACCTCCTCTGGGCAACCTGCTCCAGCACCTTACTGCCCCCACCGTGAAAAATTTCTTCCAAAAATTTACTCTAAACCTCCTCTTAGTTTGAAGCTATTCCCCCTTGCCCTCACATCACAAACCCTTGTAAATAGTGTCTCTCCATCCTTCTTGTAGGCTCCTTTCAGGTACTGGAAGCCCACAATTAGGCCACCCAAAGGCAATGTCTTCTCCAGGCTGAACAATCCCAATGCTCAGCCTTTTCCCATAGGAGAGGTGCTCCATCCCTCACATCAACTTGGTGGCCTCCTCTGGATTCAGTCCAGCAGGTCCATGTCCTTCCTGTGCTGGAAACCCCAGAACTGGATGCAGTTCTCCAGACGGGGTCTCAGAAGAGTGGCTCAGAGGGACAGAATCCCCTCCCTTGACTGCTGCCCACTGTGCTTTGGATGCAGGCCAGGACACATTTGGCTTTCTGGGCTGCAAGATCACAAGGCCAGCTCACCCACCAGCACCCCCAAGTCCTTCTCAGCCTGTCTGCTCTGGATCTGTTCATTCCCCAGCCTGGACCAAGAGCAGGATTTGCCCTGACTCAGGTGCAGCACCAGCACTTAACCTTGTTGCACCTCATGAGGCTCCCATACCGGACGTATCCATACATTTTACTGCCATATAGCAATCCTGGGCAGCAGAATGTAATCATGGCATTACAGAATCACACCTCCTCAGCATTATCAGAGGCCTTCACAGATTTGCCCTCTTTAATGTGTAAATAGTTTTCCTGCCTTTCCCTTTTACAAAGCAAAGAAGTTGTTTGCAAACTATTTGAAGAATATAAACAGCTCCTACAGGGGAAATGCCCTTGAAGCAGTGAGAGTGGAACGATTGCAGCATACAGTACATACAAATAACATCTTCAGAGAATTACTATTACTTCATAGCAGAGGCATTTTCATTATAATAGGAACCATGTCATGATCCTCAGATTAAAATTTTTTCCTTCTGCATTTATCTGTTGAGTCAACAGTCACAGGTTACTGGTTCGTTGTTAAAAGCTCTGAAGAATTACTCACCCCAAAGTAGTGCCATTTCCCATGATTGCGTCTTTGCAACATTTGTGACATATTGGGCAACAGAACAGGCAAATGACCAGCACAGAACACTTGAATCTGTATTCCCAGTGCTTTGAGCTGGAAAAAGGAGCCTGCTGATTCACTCTGCTCTTAGCAAATGTGCTGATGACTCCAAGCTGGGGGGGAGTGTTGATCTGTGGGAGGGTGGGAGGGCTCTGCAGAGGGACCTGGACAGGCTAGATCAATCGGCTGAGTGCACCAGCATGAGGTCTAACACCAGAGTGCAAGCTGTGCCAGAGGAAGCTTAAGCTGGACATTGGGAAGAAGTTCTTCACAGAAAGAGTGATTGGGCATTGGGATGGGCTGGCTAGGGAGGTGGTGGAGTCACCATGCCTGGAGGAGTTTAAGAAGCGACTGGATGTGGCACTCAGTGCCATGGGCTGGTTCACAAGGTGCTGTTACTTCATTGGTTGGGCTTGACAATCTCCAAGGTCTTTTCCACCCCAGCTGACTCTGTGATTCTGTGATATCTATTACAGCCTGGTGTAATAGATATCACACACTTGGTGTTAATCGAGCACTTGTAGTAAATTCACAAACTGATGCTTGAGTCTGAATGCTGAGTTTCAGGTTGCCTGATATGTTTATCTAACCAAATCCATGCAGACTCAGCCATGTGCAGAGGAACTTGGCACGGCTGCACTTTATCTGCCTTTTTATTTCTGGTGCAAGAGGGTAGGAATGAGAGGAAGAGAACATATAAGGGTTCCCCACTGAGAATCAATTCTATAAATTATGTATTATGCAGACACTATTCTGCTGATGCTATTCGATCCCCAATTCTCACTTCCTTGTTTTTCCTTCTATAAATAGCTATGGCCAGGTTTTCAGCTGTAAAATGATGAGGACAAAGCTAGAAACCTTTCTCATTTAATAACCTCTGCCAAAGAAGAATAGGGTAATATTTTTCATAACTGTGATGTCCTCAGGGTTTTAACAATCTGGGAATACAAGCAGCACTGTGCTGTTGATAAGATACTGGGAGTAAAAGTGGGAATAACCGTGCTGAATATTAAAGACCAAAATGCCCTATTTTCAGGATGATCAGTATAAAACTTGGTATTGTGAATTTTCCTGTCATTTTTTTTCTCTGTGTAGGACCACTTTTGCTTTTTTATCTCTCCCTCTAGATCCAAATGCTTTGGCTGGACAGACCGGACCCGATCACGCTCTTATAGGAGGAATAGTGGCTGTAGTTGTCTTTGTAACACTATGTTCTATAATTCTCCTTGGTCGATACCTGGCAAGACATAAAGGTAGGATGCATTTAGTGGAAGTTCAGTCATTTATGGAAGCAAGTCATGATTTCATCAGGGAGTGCCATTCCCTTTCGCCTTCCTCTCTCTGCTAAATGATTTGAACAAAAAATAGTTCTCAATCCAGTCGCAAGTGAAGTCCCTGGGAATTTGCACCAGTTTCCAGTGGGCTGGCCAAGGCAAAGGACATGGAGTTAATGCATGCCCAAGGTCATCTTATAAGTCAGTGATTTAGGGAGACCAAGGGGTAAGACTGCCCCTTGGTTTTGAATCTTAACTCCTGATACTTGATTACATGTTCTCATCATGTTCTCATTGTTTTAATTACCATATCAATTCAGCAGAACATATATACATTGAGAGAACATGAATATTTCAAATATATGTTTAAAAGATAATATGAGAATCCAGTAGTGAGTTTTCAAATAAGTTTATCAATGATCCTGCTGGAATAAGGGGTTCATTCCTGGGGCTAGCTTTGCTTCGTGGTTTTACCTTAATAATTCTGGTCCCTTCGTTTTCAGTCCCCTCTGCCACTAAAGATAATAGGAATGGAGTGACACTGACTTCTGACTTTACTATGATTTGATTTTGACCTAGTTAGTTCTAAAATCATGCCTTGAGATTTAACCTCTGCACAGTTTGTAGGCCTATTGCTAAAATTCAGTTGATTCCCTTTCCACACACCTCAAAAAATCCCAAAAAACCCCCAAAAAACAAAAAAACAAAAAAAAAAAGAGAGTATGAGCATTAGTATTAATTCAGTAACTCTCAATTTAGATAGGATAAACACATACCTAGCAAATATAAATTGATAAAAAACATATTTACAATTTGATTGTACTACTTAAGAGAAAATCAGATTTTTTTTTAACGAGCCAGTGAAAGTGTGTCTCTTTTGTTTCACTTTTCTGAATGAACATCTTATGCCAGCATAAATAATGGTTTTCACACAGGGAAATTTGACTGTTGTACATACTTCTTCTTTTCATTCATTTCCAGAGCATAAAAATAGCTGTGATAATATAATGAGTTGGTTCAGTTAATAAAACTGGCTCAATTTTATACTTCTTGGAACCTACTATGATACAATTCTGTAAAAATAAGGCATAGATATGACAAAGAAAAAACAGAAATACAAATGATCAGTGGCCTTTGAAGAGAAAAAAGCACTGTTATGAATCTCTAAATCTTCAAAATTGCTTTATTTTTGATGGATAACTCTTTCATGAAATAACCAAGATTTTAATCACTTATTCTATAATTGAAAAATATATTGAATATTACTGCAGTTATATAAAGTGGAGTTTTATTAAAATATTTCCTTACTAGAATTTATATATATGCCTTTACCAGTATAAATATCAGAGTAAATATTTCTTAAGCAAATTAGAAAGTTGAGCACACCTTTATGATGTATGCTAAAAACAGTGTAAAAATATTTTTCATTCAATAAAAATTGGAGTATATTGTTTGAAAAGTACTTCCTGTAATGCATTGTAAAAATAACCAAACCAAACCAAAACAAAACAAAAACCTAATCTTTCTCCTTTTCTTTTCTCTTGTACTGATTCCTACAGGAACATATTTAACAAATGAAGCAAAAGGAGCTGAAGATGCACCTGATGCCGACACAGCCATTATCAATGCAGAAGGCAGCCAAGTCAATGCAGAGGAGAAAAAAGAGTATTTCATTTAGATGCAGAGCTAGAATCTTGGAGTTTTACTTATCAGGCTGACTGCTGGAGAAAACTGGCTATTATTTCTCAGCATTCATTTCTGCCATCTTCTGCTATCTTTATTAACTCGCATACCTGCTATAAGTAGCCAGTTTATGCCAACAATCAGCTGTTGACATCATCATTCTATAATTACAGTATCATGCATAAAACAGGACATTTCTTATTGCCTAAAAATCATATCCACTGCTCTCTTAACATACAGTGCTTGAATATACAGCCTTAACAATGTTAATCATCATTTTAATCCAAGTTTTCTACATATTTAAGTGTTATGCAGCTTTCTTTTCCAGTTTTCTTTTATCATGTCCCTACTAGTATGTCATAGAACAAAATTCATAACAAGTACTATTAGGTAAGGTCCTAGTTTACTTACAGAAAATGTGATGTCTAAGATTAGAGGTTTACAAAGAATCTTTTATACCTGTCTATCATTCAAAAAGAAACTTGTTTTTGCAACACATGCCCTTGGAGACACAAATTGAAATCTGTTTAGTATAGTTTCCTATATTTTTGGATTTGGTAGAAAAAAATTATCAGTCCAGTGTATTTTTTGGAGTTTTTTGCTTTGTTTTGTTATGATTTAAATGGTACCTTGACAACAGTGCCAGGTTTCAGTGGTGAAAACATGCTGAGTAGCTATACACATTCTGCAAAGTTAGGTAATAGAGCTTCTTTTGAAACAATTTGTCCTGCCCTTTTACTGGCTTTTGGAATCACAAAGATTAGAGAACTTTCTGAGTAATTTATGTTTTAATAATTTATTTGCTAAACATGAACTCACCTGCCTACTCAAATTTGATGTGTTCATGGGGCACAATTGCAAGGCATTTTAGTATCTGTATATAGTGCATATAATAAATTCAATTAGACATTATTTGATACATATTCAACTTTTTTGGCAGTAGCTAAGTCAGTCACAAGTAAGCATTTTCTAATGTCCATTATATCCCTTTAGATATGACTCAAAATCAATATTCTGAGTAGATAACATGTGTTAGTATTTTTTGTCTGTATGTCCTAGCACTGTTCAGCAGCAAACTTTTCTAGTTCTTGTTAATTTTTTCTTTGTTATACAATGGAAGCACAATGTTATATGGAAAGGTAGTTTTAAGCTAACAACCAGTGCACAGCCTCAGGTTTTAAATTACAACCACATTTGATTACTATCCTTAAAAAGTACTATTGAGTTGCTAAAATTCTCAATTTTATTTTGGCAGTTCCAGAGCTGCTTCTCTATGTTGGTTTGCCAAAAAAAAAAAAAAAGGAAAAAAAAAAAAAAAAAAAAAGGAAAAAAAAACTTAAAAAAAAGAAAAAAAAAAAGAAAAAATAGAAGTGTTAAAACAAAAGATATATGTTTTGTGTATACAGTAAATGGACTAATTCTTTATATTAAATTCCTGTCTATGCATTTTGTGAGGTACAAACTTATGTCACCGTGAATGATAGAGAATTCCTGCCATGCTTTTAGCTCCACAGTGAAGGTCTCTGTTTGGATTATTTCTGATTTTTTTTTTTGTGTAATTGACAGCTGAAAAATCACATGCTCTTAAATATGACAACAAAACACTGTAAGCCCATTGGCTTATTTCCTCTTCCAATGAAAAGAAAAGGTTGCCATAATAGGTCTTGGAAATGATTCTACACTGGAGAATGCAAGCTAAGTCTAGTTGGAGCTCGCTTTGCTCCTGTCTTTTGCACCTTTGACAAAAGAAGTATTTATCTCTGGTTGATGTATTTGTGAAACATAAAAGGATGATGGTCTGCTGTAAAGGACTTTCTCCTGGGATTTTATTTTTGTGTGGGGAAGGGAGAATTTGGAATATGACATCATGTGGTATGGTAAAATGGAAAATAAAGGTGCTGTGACAGATTATTTATCAGAAGAATATAAACCTTTTAAGGACAATATTAGAATATTTTAATTGTTTTTGTTGAAGCATTTATCTTGTTAATTTCTAAGAAAAAAGGGTGACGTCAATCAAAGCAGCACTTTTTTTCAAAATATACAGACATAAATAATATGATGTGGTTGAGTGTTAACATAATAAATCATATACAGTATGACATTTTAAAGAAATAAGTCTGCATTGATGTGATTGCATGCTTGTTTTTACAGTTCACTCCATACCCATCTGTGGAAAAATGCAATAATATGTTAATATAATATGGTAGTTTGAGAGAACCAGGTAGGTGCTACTAGACACATTGAAAACTAGTATAGGTTTACAAGATATTCATGTCTTTCAAAACATAAACATGTAAAAGGCTGGCAAAGGAAGTCATTCAGTTTAATACCAAAAATATGGGTTCTTGTCACAGCAGTAAGTTACATTAGCTATAGTACAGTATCAAAATTTTCTTTCAGGACCTGGGGCCCAGTCAACAAAGATTTTAGCACATAGTCAGCTTCAGGCATCAGAGGAGTTCCCTTGGAGTATAAGGCACTGTTCATATGCTTAAAAATGAAGTGCTTCCCTGGATGAGGGCCTTATTTGCTCCAGTGGAATTCCCCACCAGAGTGGTGTTTACACCTTCCTTCATCCTTCCTAACTCCAGCTCGCTTGAATAGTAGGGTTGTTACTTGAACCATTACCCAGCCAAGGTCAGGTAGGGCCTTCAAAAATAGGATTGACCTTGTGGTAACCATTTCAAACCATATTCTCCACTGGCATACAAACAGCATTTCAACTTGGCAAAAAACTAGATATATAAACTGTATTGTTAAGAAAGGTTTGTTTAGGTTTTTTCATTCCATTGGCTTGCAATTAAAACTGCTTACATGTGCTCATTTTTAACCCATTTGTTCTTCCATTGTCATGCACCTGGTGATGTCCCTTGCAGCTGTGCACAGCAGGTAGGAAAAGCCCCATGCAGAGCGTTCTACCTGGACAGCACTTTGCAGGCCTGTCTGGTCTTCAGGGGTTCAAATTACTACACTGGGTGTAGAGAGGCATCCCTCTTTTCTGTAAGCAGAATCATGGCTCAACACTAATGACATTAAGTAGGCTAAAAGCCAGTTGTCCATTCCTTTTGCTCGAGTTCCCATTCTAAAAAAAAAAAAAAAAAAAGTTTTTACGATGGTGTGAGGCACCCAGCAAGTGTGTAAAATGGAGGCTCTGAATGGGAACCACCTTCACTAAAATGTATGTGACATCCTCTCCCTCACTCACTTGCAGAGTAGTTTTCTCCAGACCAGGTAGCTAGTTTCTGCCAGTGTACTGTTTACAGTGTCGATTGCTGATTATTTTTAAACCTTTTGATGTAGACTTTACTTTTTTTGTTGTTTTTTTATTTTTATTTTTTTGATGCTTCAAGAACATTCTCATGATTTGAACAAGAAAGCGGTGCATCAGAAGACAAGGGGTGCATCATCCCACTCTTTTAGTGTCATCTGACAAACCAAGAGACAGTTTAAGGAACCTGATGTTTAACTTGAGGCTCAGAGTTTAAGCTAGAACATCTCAAAAAGTTTCCACATTACTTAAGGATGGTTCGTCTTGCACTGAGACTCCCTCTCTAAAGGAACACATGAAGAAAACCAACTTTTCGAAGTGAGACATGACAGTTAACATCTTGTGTGTTTTCATTGCAGTATAATATATATATAAATATATATATATAGCTATTTCAACGAAAAGAAAGGACAGAATCATCTGTAATTATGTAATTCATGATTGTAACAGCACTGAAGTTACCATGTACGCACATGTACAGTAGCTCTTTCAACAGTTACAGTGTAGTTACATGTAATTCCCTGTAACATAGCAGTTCTAGTGTAATTTAGTGCCACTTATTGTAAAGTGTTACCAAAAGGAAAACGGACTTCTTACCTTTAGAATTCCGTTCCAATTAAAGGTAAGTTTATTAAATTAGCATCATTAAATCTGATATTGAGTTTCTTAATTAAGGAGATGATTTAAAACTTTCATGTTCGCACTGCAGCTTCCCCCCATGGCTTACCCAGACTCCTCCAAATGTCTAATCTCTACACTCCTAGGGACTGGTAATCTGTGATGAACATACCAAAAATCCCAGCTACTCCAACTTTAATTGAGCAAGCTGTCTAATAAAGAAAAACAGCAACAACAAAAATGATGAGTAATGCTTTTTATTAAGTGGCACAAAGTACACACTAAAAACTATGCAAAAATATAGGTAAATACAGTGTACTTACATGTAAGTATCTTGTACTTGCTGTGTATGGATATTGGAAAACCATGTAATTATAATATGCATTTTGATTATTTCAAGCAAGGGGTGACCCCCAACAGTCACAAGGGAAAAGTGGAAGGTACATCTACAAGCAGTGGATATCCAAATGCAATATGTGTAATTCCTCTACTTGCAATGACAACTAATTTATAAAAAATACTGCTCTTCATTCTCATCAGCTTTGCTTTCCATTTCTTGGAGCACCATTAAATACCACTGAAACACCTTTAGGCAAAGTAAGACACTGACTCCTCTAATGGCTTTGCTGCCAGCACTCTGAATGTCTGGCAACACTGTTCTGTAATCTTATTGCTGGCTCAACAGCACAAGTTTCATCTTTTTTTTCTGTCCTCAAGGGAGCCTAGTATGTTAGGATGCTGAAATATGCTGCCATATGCCCTGGTATTTTTAGCAGGAGCAACAGAGAAAAAGACAGAGGAAGAGAGAGAGAGATGCATTCTTCTGACCCCTATTTTGCTGAATCATCTCACCTGGAATTTCCACTACTTCCTCAGTAATGCCAGGTAATCTTAAATTTTAAGTACAAAATGCTTCCATTACAGTACAGAGGATGCCCTAAATGATAAAACTAATGTTTTTGTAAACATGAAGTTCTGTATTGTAGATCTTTTTCCTTCTTGACACTTTTCCATCATGCCCTTCCAGAAGAAATGCACCAAAAGATAGATAACATAGAATAGAAAAAGAAGAGAATTTTTTTGTAAGCCGCCTTGTGGTTGCCATTGCTATCACCCTCCTTTGTATCCTGTGTAACAGGCAAATAAATGTATTTAGCAACTGCCATTAGCATCATTCCACATTATACTATTCCTAGAATATGACATCTACCTCTTAGTCTAAATACTAGCTATGAGATATTTGTATACATTTTAAATACTATTGAAACTTTGCTTTAGTCTTGAAATTAAATCACTGTATTATTTTTTTTTTCTGTTAAAAACAGGTAAAAATATTTTCTGGGTTCATAATTCTTGCCCTGTTCTTATTAATTTTGGTATAGTTTTAGCTTTTTAACAGGGCATAAAGACACAGCCTCAGCTGGTATAAATCAGCTTCACTCTGTTGCCTTAAATGTGGGCCAATTTATGCTGGCTGGGGATTCATCCCAAACAGCTTAAAAATAAACTGCTATAACACATCAATATTTAGTCAGCTCTAGATAATGATTTGCAATCCAACAGCAACACAATCCTTCCAAGTAAGGCATGCACGTATGAAAAGAAACTTTAAAAAGCACATGCAAGCTTTTGAATTAAATATGCAATATCAACACTGTTGATATATCCTAACTTGTCTCTCACCTATTTAAACATAATATTGCCAGGGCATGTTTACATTAAAAACACTCAATACATGGGGAGCAGAGAAGGACTATTGCAAACAGCAGGAGAAAATTAAATTAATAGAGAAGACTTTGATGTCAACAGAAGAGAGTAGAAACTCTTTTGAGAGTAGGACTTCCTACAGGGTTTTTCAGGGTGGACCTAAGGCCTCTAAAACACATGAAAGTTGTTTACTTGGCATTAAGAGAAGCTAGGACAGTTCCTTCTTGCTATCGAGGAATTTTACCCAGCACTCTGCACTTCTTTTAACTCAGGAGAAAATAAGGGTACAAACATGGTTGAACAGCACACTTCTGTTTCACTCCACATCCTCAGGATGCTCCAAGCCGTGCGCTTCCAGCAACCCTTAAGAGAATTCTTCCAGCATCTAGGAATCATCCTGTTGCCAAGCTGTGTTCATTTTCTTCAGCAATGTTTAATGTACTCAAAACCAGACCAGAAGGTGTGAAGCCAATTTGAATGAGTCTGCAGTTCTAGGGGATTCCAGAGCCTTGCAGTAGATGGGGAAAGAAAATTAAAAAAAAAAAAAAATTCCTCATGGCTTCTATGTTTACTGTAGGTCTGCCCTGCACATTCTGTGTCTTAAGTAATTTATTCTCTGCTGGGCTAAAAGCAGCAGTCTAATTGGAAAGGAGGAAGGAAAACTATCTCCTCTAAAAGGAGCAGTCTGTGCTACTAT